CAGACAAATTGAGGAAGATGCAAACTCAAACCCATGATGTAAGCACCTGCAAGTGTGCATCTTCATCCCATATGTGGCTATCTGCTAATAGCGTCTTCTCACTTGTGTGCAGGAGTCTTAGAGAACATAATGGATGCTGATCCCAACTGTCTTTAGCTGCTCTCGGACAATGGCTTGAAGAACAGGAGCTGAGTGGGTGTGGTGCTGGATAAACACTGGTCAGAAAATCCTGTTCCAATTTTCTCAAAGGGAGAAAATGAGACGAATCMCTAAAGTTAACGTCTGAAACTCAGGACATTAAAACTTTAGAATATTTACCTTTTCATCATSTCAAATAAGATGAACTTTGTTTACTTTTTAAAAATAAAAAAATTTCAGCTGAATAAAAAAATCTAACTTTAATGAACTTTCATGACATGAGCTTTGCATGTGTCCTGCATGTGTGACACCACACTAACATTAGCAACCTGCAGCGTAAAGGCCAGGTTTTATCACGACTCTGCCCCCCACCCCTCCTGAGTAATAAAGCCCTGAAGAGCTCTCTGCTGTGTGTCTGCTTGCTTGCTGTTCATCTCTCAGCACCAGGCAATGCTGAGCTCATGACCACTGATGGACAAGTGTTAGTGGAGGACAAACAAGCAGAACATGCTCTTTTTGGGTTCAGTCAGTTATACTAGAAACATGAAACTATAGTAAAGTGACTTCGTTTTGCTGCTTTCTGAAGTCAAATACAAGCTGCACTCCCTGGATGATGACTTGAGCTGGAGGCGCCTGTTGAAAGACAACATTAATGTAACTGAATGAGAGTCCTTGTCTCTTTTCAAAGCCCACCTTCCTCGTCTTTTTTTCTGCTTCGAAACTCTGACGTCTATTTAAAGATTTTTAAATCAGTATGACCTCATTGATACTCACTGATACAGGGGCGCCACCAAGGTGGGCAAACCCCCCCCCCCCCCCACTTGCATTTCTTGGTTTTATCTTGAGTCCTAACGTTTTGCTTGGTGTGTATTTTTAATTTCCTCTAGCTCAGGTCTGTCAAATTCATTTTCACAGAGGGCTACATGAGCATTGTGGTGATCCTTAAGGGACCAGTTGTAATTGATGTTTCGTGTTTAACTTCAAATAAACAGGAAACGTCATGTTCCTCGTCTCAGTGCTACGGCTAAGCACAGCTTAACAAACAATAACTGAGCTCTACATGGTATTTCCTGCATAGAAACAGTGTTTTAACATGTCCTCTTATAAACGCTAAAACATACTACGTGTACGACCTGCTAAACGTGAAGTAAATAATRCAGAAATACTAATAAAAAGAGCGTTTTACTCACAGGTGAGTTGCAGTGAGTTGCTGCCGTCATGAATTTGGAATTCTCACTGGAGGGGTGTTTCAGTTTAAATTTACGACTTGTAAGTGGGACATTTCTACTCCCCAGTACGAGCCGCACCAGCAGTAGCCAGCGAAAATGCAGCAAAATGAACATTTTACACTACACCTGTGGTAGGATCATTTTGAGAGTAAAATAATTAACATTCACTATGGAAGCTGTGGCTTTAAAGCAGCTTATTTTGAAACATTAATACAAGGCAATTCAACAGAATTTTCTCAAGGGGTCTCATTTACTCAAAGCCAACAGCTCAATGGCCAGACAAATATTATTATCTTTTGCTTTTTAAATTTCTTTATCATTGAATCAGAGCTTTGAGKTTTACAATTAAATTAATATGTATTTTTATATTAAATTAAAAAAATAATTGGGGGTGAGGGGTGGCCTCATTGGATGAAAGTTACTTGCAGGCCAATTGTGACCCACTGACCTTAAGTTTGACACRTGCTTTAGAATTACCTCATAATTATTAAAACCAGACACTGTTTTTGAGAAATTCTGAGTTTAAAAAAAACATAAACCTATCCATCTTCTTTACCTTCTTTTTTCTTTCTAGGTCCCAGAGGTTGCTGGTGCCTATGTCCACCAGGGGCAGAGTCCATTACAGGGTTACACATTAGAAAACAACAATTCTCACCTAGAGACAATATAAAATTCTAAGTTTACCTATAACAGGA